TCATAGTAGTCATTTTGACTATAGAGGAATATGTTTCGGTATAGTCTATGCCGACTTGCTGAGTGTAGCCTTTGACTACTAATCTGGCCGTAAATATTTCTATGCTACCATATGTCTTGTGCTTAACCTAATACACTCACTTGCAGCCAATTGCTTTCTTGTCTATTGGTAGCTTAACAAGATTCAAAGTGTTGTTAATATAGAGTGCCTCAAATTCTAATGCCATGGCCTTCTACCAAGCAGGACTTAAGTATGCCTCTTCATATGAAGATGGTTCACTATCATGACAAATATTTTCTACAAGTTCTTAACTATTGGATGTAATGACATCGATCATGATGGACATGGTGGTGTTTAGTGAATCAGGAACTAAGTGAAAGGTTGGTGTTGGTAGGATGAGGTTGTGTAGTGGTGACAGGGGTTTTGAAGTAAGAATGAAAAAAATGTAGTCTTGTAAGTGGTGAGGGACTTTTTTTTCCCTCTGAGATCTCTTCTGCATTACTACATCAAGATTAGTGGTTGTTGAAGTGGGAGATGGGGTGATGAGAATGGATGGTGGTCAACTAATGGTGTGTCTGAGTGTGGAAACATATCAGTATTTGTAACAATCTCATTATTATGATCATTCAACAAAGTATTATAGGGACTTAATTCAGTACAATCAATAAAATCAGTATTTGGGATAAACGTGAGAATAGAAGTAAAAGTACACTTTGTTGAGGATAAAGTAAAAGGAAAAAAATCCTCATTAAAATATGACATCTCTGGAGACATGTATTTTCTTAGTGGCAAGACTCATTAGCTTGTAACCTTTTTGTTCAAAGGGATATCCCACAAGGATGTGAGGAGTGGTTCTGGGCTGAAACTTATCTCTATGAACTTTGGATATAGTGGGTAAAAAGGCATCCAAATTATTTAAGTTGGCATAATATGGTTTTCTATTATATAGTATTTCATAAGGACATTTGTTCTTGAGGTAGTTTGAAGGTAGTCTATTTATGAGATGGGCTGCTGTCAGGATGCATTCTCCGATCCCCAATACTTTGAGGGTAATTTGAACTGGCCGAATAAGAGGGCTCTTGTTGTCTCCAAGAGATATCTATGTTTTTTCTCCACTACACTATTTTATTATGGTGTATATGGACAACTTTTTTAATGGATGATACCTTTAGTTTGAAAGAATTGGTATGCTTCAATATTAGTAAATTCCAGGCCATTATCTGATCTGATGCTTTTGACAATGATATGGAACTGATTTCTATCATATTTGTGACGGTTTTCAAGACATAGAAGCATTGTTTTTTGGATGTGTGCAAGTAGATCTGTTATAATCATCTACAAGAGTGATGAAGTATTTATAATTATCATGGGTGTCTACATGATATGGTCCCCGTAAGTTAACATGGAGAAGCTTAAATATTGCTTCGGTGTGGCTAGTACTTTGGCTAAATGGTAACCTAACTTGTCTTGCCACGGGACATATATTGCACAAGAAAGGTTGTTTTGTGGAAAAGGTTGCTGGGAGTGGAGATATTCCTCAATTTGACAAAAGATACATGACCAAGTTTGTTGTGCCACAATAAATCTACATTTTCTACAACAGACATACAAAAATTATTATGAAGGAAAACATTTGGAAGCATAAGTTTATACAAGGAGAACAGTGACATTAGTGAACAAACTACACTTGTGTGTGAGACAAGATCATCAAAATTCTTACTTCCAATTGAAACAAAAATAATAATAACTGACATTAGAAAGACAACAACAAGTAGAAGTGATATCATTTGAATTCTTCAATCATTTGGAACATAGGAAGTAGAATCCATCATTGCTATTACCAATCACCAAGGGGCATGTAATATACATAATGCATTAGTGAACACGAGTATGCAACTCATGCACAGAGCTAATGAATGAACTGCTATTAAATTGTACTTAAAGAATATGCATATAATATTTTGTGTATAGTGATCTTGGGAGTGATTGCTACATCACAAAATTTTGTTACTTTAACTATGCACCCATTTGAAAGAGAAACTAATATAGGATAAGGTAAAGTTTTAATGTTTGTCAGGAATTTTCTATTGAAAGTCATATGGTTTGATGCCCCTGAGTCTATGATCCATAAATCAGCACTTGATTCAAAACATTTATATGAGGGTTTGTCAAAATTAATAGATGAGGAGAAAACTACAATACCTGTAAAGTTTTTAGCATTCACATTTGAGGTGTTTGGATCATCCCCTACATTCTATAACTAAAACTGTTGCAATAGATTCATGATTTGTCCATACTGGGATGCTAGCATTTTGGTGGTTATATCTCTGTGAATGTTCTTCTCCATGAGCAGATATCATGTCATTTGGCACACCATGTACATTAGTTATAATCTTCTTGCTTTTAAAGTTCTGGTTGTTATTTTACTTATAGTTTTGGCCATGATTGGTTATTTTGTAGCACTTGTCCCTGTCCTAGCCTTTTATGAAAATTACAAACCATATCATTCCTATTGCTACTGCTTCCTGAGTAATAATTGTTCGCTGCATATTTGTTATTGTTTCCTGAGTTGATGTTGCTGCCTCTTGCATAGTTGTTATTCTGAAAACTTATTCTAAAGACCCCTTGCATTATTATTGAAGGTGTTCACATTCAAATCAAAGAAGATGATTCCATGGACATTCGACTAGTAGGTCTAAACTCCCTTTGTTTCGCCTCTTAAGCATGTGCCATTGAAGGAAGTGGATATTACCTCTGATCACCATAGTTTATACCTCATTCTATCCCATGAGAAATTGAATCAAACGTCTATCATGTTCTGCTTTAATTTGTGCATATTGTCCTTAGCACCGCATATGCACAAGAAGTTGTACTGATTTTTCAAACTCAAAGTAGTAAGTTTTTTTCTTAAAAACTTTTTCATCCTTCTAAGACTCATTGAGTGAGATCATTAATTTCCTTCTGAATTTGATATAGTTTGGTACTATTGATTTGATCATACATATCCTCCAACTCTTTCCACAGTTGTACAGAGTCATTAACATACTCTTACGTTGTCTGAGATTTTTTTAGTTAATGAGTTTCAAATTCATGATGTCATCACATTTTTGCCATTAATGAAACAAAGAAGAATTTCCACAGCTTCCGTCAATGCATCCTAATCACAGATAGGGCTCGTAGGACTCCTTTTCTCCAGGATCGATATCCTGCTCCATCAAAATGGATAGGAACAAGCATCATCACAGGGATGTCTGAGGGATATACATATAGAGCACTCCTTGTATCAATGTTCGATTCCTTCGCTAGGTAGCAAATTTTCAGTATTCTTCATTAATCTAATTCTCAAATCGATACACACAAAAAAATTCTTATGAATTGGACTGAATTAGAAGCAACTCTTATTCAAATTGTTACAATGATGCGAAATCAAAATTATTTTGTAAGGAAGTAATCAAAACAGAAATTCACAAATCAACGAAATAGAAGAGAACAGGGATCAAAATACTTGCTCTGAGACCATATTACAACTCTACATTGTGGTGAATATTCAACTGCAACAAGAAAAAAAGAAGCCATAACTCCCAATTGAGAGAAAATTGATTCAATGAAAATTATATATACTACTGTATGAACTTGACAGTTACAGCCAACTAATAAAAAATCAAAGGAAAAAAATATCATAATTAACTATCTGATTGTGACTAACTAACTGACTGACCAGATTAGTTAACCAACTAACTGTATGAATCTAATTAAGCTAATCTAACTTTATTTTTACTAATATGCTTGGCTTCAAATTGTTAATGTCTTTTTCATCTAGCATGTACTTGAACACAAGTGAGTCCAATTCAATATGGAAATTATTAAAATCATTATATATTCACCATCCACTACAAATTCCATTTTAGATTTTCAATCATGTACCTGATTATGAACATCATCAATATTCTGCTTAAACCAATGACTCATGGGGACTTTAATTTGTTGAGTCATTAAAGATTGGATAACATTTTTAACAAGAAAAAACGGCTTAAGTTGAAAAGCCTTTATGTTGCAATATGTTAGAAGATTACAAATTTTCTCCTTGCGGAAGTGGATCGTCTGCAATTATCACTAGTTGACTTATTGATCGTCAGAAATTCTCACACAATCTAACTATCTTCTTAAGTATGTAGAGAATTTCACTAATCGTATTTATTTTTTTAGACGATGTAAAGTGTATCTCCCAACCTTCATAATGTGTTAATACAGACAATATTAAAACTTAAAATTAAATAATGGATTGACTCACTTAATTGATTGTCGAAAATCCTCAGGCGATGAATGGATACCTAGTTTCATAGTCTAATTGTCCTCTTAAGTATGCAGAGAAATTCACTAACTTTATCCCTTTTTTTAGATGATTTAAAGTGTGTCTTCCAACCTTCATAATGGTGTTAACATAGACAATATTAAAACTTAAAATTAAATAATGAGCCCACTCACTTAATTTACCCTATTTATAAAGGGAAAATTTTCAAAACAACAATATTTTTATCCTTACTTGTTTGGACTTTTTTAAATATGATTTTATTTGAAATGTATTCGGATGGACTTCTTTAAATATGATTTTGTGTGTCATTATTTTAAAATGTAATTGAAATATAAATTGCGAGTGATATTAAAAATACAAAATGAGCCAAATAAAATACAAATTTATTTACTAATAATAGTACGAATACGTATATAATGAATACGTAAATAAATTGTATTTTGGTTATTTAGAATTGAAAATGAATACAAAATCAAATCTAAATACAAATTATCTGGTATACAAAGTGATATTGAAAATACAAAATGAGTAAAATAAAATACAAAATATGTTTTATTGATGCAAGGATGAATACCTATATAAAATAAATAAATTGTATTTTGGTTATTTAGAATTGAGAATGAATACGAAAATAAATATAAATACAAAACTTGATGGTATACCATTAGGACGAATACAAAATCAAATCTAAAATACAAACTATTTGGTATACAAAGTGATATTGTAAATACAAAATAAGCAAAATAAGATAAAAACTTTAGTTTTACTATATGCAATTAGGATGAATACATTAATAATGAATACATAAATAAACTAGTATTTTGGTTATTTAGAATTGAGAATGAATGGACAATTAAGAACTTATATCCGGTAATTGATTCATCAAGTTCCATGGATTCAATAAGAGTCTTTTCGGAACCATCCATAGAGCGGCGGCGGCGGAGATTTGGAACCCAACCCAGGGAAATCGCCCGAGCCCTAAAACAAAATCACAAGAAAATCGAAAAAAATTATTTAAAAGACTGAAATCTGAAACACATAAATATTTGATGATTATCTAACCAAACTCACATTCTACTAAATCTGAAATACTAAAACAAAATCACAAGAAAATCGAAAAAAATTATTTAAAAGACTGAAAATCTGAAACACATAAATATTTGATGATTATCTAACCAAACTCACATAAAAATCGAAAAAAATTGACGGAAAATCCGTAATATATAAAACCCAAAATACAAGATAATCGGTGATTTTAAAAACAAATCAACATAAATATCACTAAATAATCAAAATTACCTTTAACAATTGAGATATTTCTTGAGTTAAGTTAGAGATTTGTTGAACAAATTAGGAGAACAATTCATAATTTGTATTTCTTGACCTGCAAAGAAATTTGAAGAAAGAGAAAATATAAAACTTGAATGATGGGGAGAGAGAAACGTGAATGATGGGGAAATAATATTAATCGGTAGTTTTTTTTTTTCCTTTTTTATCTATTATTGATTTAGATTTTGGTCCAATGATGGACTGTTTTGGGGGAAAAGAAGGGTAAAATAAATAATAATATTTGAATACAATTATTTTGTAAAGTATTGACATTTTGACATTTTAAATAAATATTTTAAAGTGTAGTTGTTTTGACTAATTATGTTAGGTATGTTGACTAGATTGCTAATTAAACAAGTTAACTTGTAATTAATTATTTCAAAAATAAGTTATTCGAAGACATCCCACCATATATATGAGATAACTTATCTCATCACTTGATATAAATAGCAGGATAAATAATTTAATGACTACTTAATAATTCAAATCAAATACATAATAAAATAATTTTATATTTTATTTTGAAAATATTATACTTTATACTTCACCCGGATAAAATAAATAATGCTAATTCTGAAATCTTTTGCTAGCTGCTAAAAATAATTTCAGCTTTTGTATCAACATTCATACTTTGCAACAGGAGTCAGTCAGTAGGTCAAAGCAATTCGTTTCACCTCCATTTCTTATCAAATCTAAAAATACTATTTGCGCCAACTTTATATCTAAGATTTATCCTAGGTGAACGTAGAGTATATCTTATTTTTTTCATTTTGAACTTAAATTTCTATATTTATATATCACTATTTTAAATTTTCATATTTCTTAAGAAATTATGTAAATTTATCATTGTACTTTATTTAGTATTCTGTTAAAGTTAAATTTTAATAAATAAACATAAATTAACTTATTTTTAATTAATCATTTAGTTTTTCTATGCCGGTCAAATTCATACTTTCAAAACTAATAATTCTTGAGGATAAAATTAGAAAAATAATACCATTTTTATATTAATTTTATAAAATTACAAATATTAAAAATCATCTATCTTTAATAAAACACGACATATAAATAAAGGGAAAAGACATAAATTCCCACTCAAACTTGTATCGAAAAGTCAGTTTCACACTTCACCTATTATGACGATCTATTACACACCCTTACTATTTAAAAGTGAATTTAATACCACCTTGAGACACATAACACCACTCTCACAGTATGTGGTGTATTACACTCGCTGCCACGTCAGCACCACGTCAGCTCCACGTTATAAATTATAATTTTTCATATTCTTTTTATTTTCTTTTCTTTATTAATTAACTTTTTTTTGTTAACTTCTATTTTACACTAATTAATCCCTAACAAAATATTAAAATTCTCTAATAATCATATCTTCTTCCAATCTAAATCCTACCCACTTTTATCCCTAATCTGACTAGAATAATTATTCATTTGAAGTTATATCACAATTCTCTTTGTCTTCTCCGGCGAAGAACAATCAACCTATCACCACCATAAACCTACCTCCATAACGTCATCCCCTTCTCTTTTCCCGACAAACAACCCATCTCCGACAAAGAACAACCACTAAACAACTATCTAAGCCACCACAAACAACCTACCCAAAAACTCCAAATCAGTCATTGACGAACACCGAATCAAACCCCTTTACCTTACCCCTTTTCGATTTTCTTACTTTTAGTTTTTATTACAGTTGTTTCGGCGAGCTCAAAGCTTCAACCATGGATACGTTTCAATGAGCTTAATTTTTCAGATCCATGACGTTTGAGTAAGCTTTGTGCTTCCAAATCTGAACAACCAACAAATAAGGCAAGTAGGTGTGTGAATATGCACATACAAATATATGAATACACAAATGAAAAGAAATCAATTTTAACTATAAAAAAAGGCAAGTGGGTGTATGTATATAGATGCCTACAGGCTACAAGTATATTTGCGGGTTTTAAGGTCGGAGGCTTTGCTTGTATTTTGCCGAAAATTTGAAGGTGAAAGTGGAAAGATTAGGAGAACAAAGTCTCGAATTCCTAGAATCATTGTGAAATTTGAATTAAAAAATTAATTTTTTCTTAGGTATAATGATGAAATTGAGTGAAAAAATTGTAGAAATATGATAAGAAAAAATAGAAATTAAGTGACAAATTGAAAAATTGTGCAAAGAAAAAAATGAAGAAGAAAAATTATGAATGAAAATAAGAGAAGAGGAACAAGAAAAGAAGAAAACAGGGGCTGGGGTTAAAAAAAATTACTTTTTTGACTTTATTTTCAAACCTCAGACGCGGCTAATTTATTTTTATTTTAAATTTTATTTCCACGTCAGTTTTGAGGTGGTATTAATTACACTTTGAACAAGAATACATGTGTAATAGATCGTCATAAAAGTTAAAATGTGTAACTGACTTTTCGGTACAAGTTGAAGAGGGAAATTTATGCCTTTTCCCTGTAAATAAAACACAGAAAGTAATTGCCTGTTACGAGGCAGCTCACCGCCTCAAAGATAGAAAGGCTTAGAAAATTGATGTTTGTTGTGCTCATTCTTTATGGATATTGAAAGTTGTGTTGTGTACCTTCACAAAAGTAATGGGATTTTTTGTACTCTCCAGCCACTTTACATCCCTTTCAAAATTATTTATTTCAAATTATTTTATTTGTCAAAATTTTTATTTATAAAAATTATATATTATATTTATTATATTTAACTATTTTAAATATCAATTTTTCTTTGACAAATATTTTTTTCTACTATATTAGAGTATGTATATATACTCTTTACTTAAATTTTAAATGCTAATAATTCTATATTTATTACTTTCAAGAATAATTATTAATGTACTAGACCCGTTTGGTAGGCGGTATTAAATAGAATAGTTTATGAATTAAAATTTAGTTCATATAATACCTTGTTTGGTTACTTTATTTAATTTAATGCATGAATTGCTTATCCACCATATGTGGTCTTATTTTATCCCTAAAAAATGGAGGGATAACTAATTCAAGGTTTAACAAACCTTGGAAAAGACCCCTAAATGACTAAACTATCCCCTCTTTTTTTTTTCTAAATTTCTTTTGTAATTTAATTTCCTTTTTATTTATATTGGAATGGTTATAAATGTTCTTTTTAATTATCCAAATCTGTTTAGTGTAATTTAATGATTTTATTAATAATTTTTTTGAATTTTTTTAAAATGTAGTTTGTCAATTAATCACTTGAACTATTTGTTTTTTTTTAACAAGTTTTAGGTATTGAACTATTTAAGTAGTCTTAAATTTATGTTAAGTTTAAGATATTTTTTACCAACAAAAAATTAGAAATACACCGTATCATCAAGGATCTCCTTAGTAGTACATCACACCTTAAAATTAATAGCAATTTTTATAACTTAACTAGTTAAATGGAATAGAAATTTCTACAAAAATAATAATAATATTGTCCGACGGTTATCTACCTTGACCCAGTTACTTAAAATAAACAATCTCATAATAACACAAGAGTATAATAGGAATTTTTTTTGTACAGTTTTAAATCAAACACAAGATTAAGTGGGAAGCAATGATCCAAACACATGACAAAAAATAATCCCTGCATTATTAATTCCTTCATTACTAATCCCTGCATTACTAATCTTAGCGTTATCAATGTTTGTACCAAACGACCCCTAAGAACAAAATGGGAAAACAACAAGTAGTGAAATGGTTTAGAGGGAGTATGTGTTTTGACTATCATTTTCTTATTTAGTACTATCTCTTTAATCTATTTGAATTTGTTAAGACAATGCACATCTATTAAGAAAATAATTTAAATTATATTTTTTTATTATTGGTCTTTTTTGAAATCATAAATATAACTTCGGAAAAGGGCCTAAAATACCCTCGAAGTATTGAAAATGGTACACAACCACCCCTCATCCACCTATTGGCTCCAAAATACCCTCTCATCCACCTATTGGCTCACAAATACCCTCCCCATCCATCTTTGGGTCCAATTTTAGCCACTTCATTAACGGAGCATCATTTAAAATAATTAAATAATCCTTTTAATTACATGGCGCTCAACCATTGGTTGCAATTTAATTATTTAATATAATTTTAAACCCACCCATTTTTAACTAAACCCGCCCCAATACTTATTAAAACCCGCCCTAAAATATTGAGCATCAAGTCATGAATGAGCATCAAAATATATTTTTGATGTCATGACATTAGAAACATCTTTCTAATGTCAAGAATGAGCATAAAGAAATCTCGTAGAAGAGCAAATTCAATAAATAAAGCTTAAGCTTTATTAATTAATATAAATTATAAAAACATACATTATATACATGACAAAATATATATTTTTGTTCCTGTGGAGTCAAATATGAGTTGCTAACATAATGTATGTACAGTTCACATTTGTTGATTATCTGATTTTTTTTAATAATGGTGATAGAATTGTAGTCATATAAATCAAATGGGCAATCACTACGACAAATAAAGAATTTAACGATAATAATAAAATTTTCGTTATATTATATTTTTTACGGCAATAATATATATGTATATTCATAGCCAACATTCTATATAAATAACGCTAAAGACTTTAGCAACTTTGAATGCAATAACACTAACTCAATTTCCACTAAAAAAAATCTATTGTCTGTATTTTTTTTTTTTGTAGTGAACGAAGTCAGAGGTGAATTCAGCTAAAAACTCAATAGCTTTAGATTTACATTTTGAATTTTTTATATAAATTTCTAACTCAGTATCTATACAATTTGTCCCTCTAAAAGAATCTTGGATTTTCTTTGTGATTTGATTATTTTAGATTAATATAATGGTCACACTAGTACATTTTAATACTTATTAAATTCGCCCGACCCAATACAAAAAGAACCCATGGGTTCGATCGAGCGGGTAATGGGTGAGTTTAAAATTATATTTTAGGGCGGGTTTAATTAGTATTGGGGTGAGTTTAGTTAAAAATGGGTGGGTAATGGGTGAGTTTAAAATTATATTAAATAATTAAATTGCAACCAATGGTAGAGCGCCACGTAATTAAAATGATTATTTAATTATTTTAAATGTTGCTCCATTAATGAAGTGGCTAAAATTGGACCCAAAGGTGGATGGGGAGGGTATTGTGAGCCAATAGGTGGATGGAGAGGGTATTTTGGAGCCAATAGGTGGATGAGGGG